TGAGAGCAGGATTTCTTTGGTGTTGATTAATCTAGATTCAGCAACAGTGGAGCTGAGCCAAATAGTCTAAATGGGACAGGTATGTGGGGGGAGAGTCAAGTGTCCTACTTTACAGAGGACTGTTATCTGTTTGAAAGTGCTCTTTATATGAAAGGGCATCCAGTCCAAGTCTGATGTAAAGATAAAGAACAATCAGAAGAGAGATCAGTAGAAGCCTTGAACTTGCCCATCCACACATAGCACCCAGACAATGGGTTGAACAGTCTCTCACTGATCCTGTTTGCACATCATCATAAGCCACTCTGAACTGAAATCACAATGTCTTATTTAATCCACCACTAACCCACAATGCTGCCATCAGATGATCAGGTGCTCCTTGGTTTGCCATGGTTACCTTCCTTCTTGGCCTTCTAACCTGCTCCTGCCACATATCCAAGTATTCTATGTGACAGAGCTTTTCCTTTTAAGAAGAAAAGGTTGTTCTATCTGCTACTCTGGCAGAATAAGGCACCCTGAACAATTGAACAACAACCCAGGGTTCTCAGAGTGGTTTGTGGTATAGATGTCATGACAAGCCACTCTGAAACAAACAAGATTGACAACCTACCCTGTGTTGTTCTGTCATGAAAAGCAGGTCACTGTGATAAGATGTATTTCACTTCAATTTCACTTATGGTAAGCATTTCTAAAAGCACATCTCTACATAAGTAAATGTTATGCAAATGTGTGTCCTCTTTTCTGGTGATGCGTGAGTGTGTTTGTATTACACCCATCCCTGAACTTTGTTTTGAACACGATGGAGGCGAAGTTAAATCCATCTCCCTGATGATGTGACCTGTTTCTCCCATGCTTTTTATCTGTGCTCTTTGATTTCATAGGAGCATCATCATTCTGTATCTGCTTATTACAGAGAACACCAGGTTCTGTTAGTTATTAATGACTGCTGCTCCTTGTTATTGCACCAGCCATGCTAAAGAGCCTAGAATAAACTAATGGGAAGAGATGTACACATCCCCAAAATAGCTTGATGTGTTCAACATCTCCTCTTCCTCCTCCTTCTGACCTGATACGTGCTTGAAAATTTATGGTAACAGCTCAGATTAGTGAAATTAATAGTTAAGGATTAACCAGTTGTGTATTCCAATGTAGGTGGGAGTAGCTTTTGTGTATGTGTGTGTAGTTGCAAAGAGTAGATAGACCTCCTCCTCGGCTTGGCATGCTTCTCTAACTAAATATTCCAGTAGAGTAAATTATAGAAAAGTCTGGTATGTTTGGCTACATTTTCTTGCAAACTCCCTTGCAGGAAAATTTTGCTAGTTGCATGCAAAATTTGCTCTACACATTTAAAACTGCCCTTCGTGCAGCACTGTGGCTGATGATTCTTAATGCTCTTGTTTGTGCAAATAACCATATGTCCATATATCTAATTAGGATGAAACTAAGAGAGTAAAAACTATTCTGGATCAGACCAATGGTCCATCTAGTCCAGCACTTCCTTCACATGTTGGCAAACCAACTGTCCACAGGATCTCTCAAGCAAGATGGGTACAAGAGAACCACCTGCCAAAGTATCCCAGCAACTGGTATACATGGGCACACTGCCTCAGATACCTGAGGTATACCATTATGATCTGTACAGCTTTCATGTGTGTTTGCCCATGATTCCTCTGTTTTTTGCTTTAATCTGTCAATTTAAATGCATGTGCATTTTGACATGGCCATGACTGCTGATGGGGTGGCTACACCCACCTAAACATACAGCTGTGGAGGGTGGGGGTTCCAACTTCTCATCCAACTTCTCCTAAAACAGGTTTGCTAACCCTAGACTAGAGGTTGCTTCCTTGGCAACAAAACTCACCATAAAATTACTGGGGAAAAATAATTGTTTAGTGAGGAAAGGGCTGCACTGACAGGGTAATTTAAGTGGACCTGACACTTCTGTTCCTGGTAGCTGACAGGCAGAACAGAAGAATATTGTATGGCTTTCCCCGTTCGGATAGGTTTGTCCCTCATTTCATAGAATTAAAGCTCCATATAATCCCATTGTTGAGAACACAAAGTTTCTACATTGCACCTTAGGTTTGCAGCCTTATTCTGTTGTCCTTTATTCGGTTAGTAGCAAAATTTATCAAAATAAATTAAAATTTCGGCAGACTGCATGAGTCTGTATGCAGATAAACTATCCATTGTTTCCTTCTGGGAGTCATGGCCATGCAGTCATCTTCTGGTGCCAGGAAATATTATCATTGCAAGGACGGCTCTTCACTTCCTTGCTTTGCCAGGGGAAACTAACAGCCAATTAGCTTTTCAGCACTGATTCTGTTCGCAATGCTGTAAACAACAGCAGCTGGTGGGTGGACCTGGCTTGAGACCAGTCCAAAGATGGAACCCAAAACCACTTTGTAAACTGTGGGGGATGAAAGAACAAGAAACCTCTAACCATGACTTCATTTTTGTACTGGTTTGATTTTGCTTTATAGAAATCCTTAGGCAGCTAGAGCTCTGTTTATGGACATAAACTGATTGTACTCTTCTAGCCGGATCACCAGATATGTTTTGCCAGCATCAATCTGTTAATCCTATCGGGCAATGGCTTGGATCCAACAGTGCCCTTGCACAAGTGTTCTTCACTGTATGGGAGAATCATGTTTACCATTGTGTTGTGAAAGAAAAGTGAGCCATGCAAACCCTTGTACAACAGTTTTTACAGAATGGTTTGCTGCTTTTTCCTCTCTGTTCTCCCTTTTTATCTGTTTAGGATTTAAATTCTTTGAGCATGTGCAAAATGAGCCCTAATTGCTGAGATGCGTGCAGTTTCCCCAATAAAAAAGGAAGTTCTGATAGTTGGAGCATAAAAAAGTAGAAACTAAGGCTTGCTTTGTGCTCAGCTCTTCTAACATGAACATTCCTGTGAGCTCTTTCTGAACTGTTTCCTTCCACCAGTCATTATGACATGCTTTGCAACCAGGCAGGTTCACACTGAAGGAATTGGGACTTGCTTTGCAATGCAGAACTGCATTCATTCCTTATAAGGACAGGTAATTCTGTCATCACTTTTCTTGCTGTGATACAGCCGCAAGCACTTCTGCTGTGGAAGGTGTTGGTACTTCCACTCATGCCTCCAAGAGACAGCCCCTCTCACATCCCTGCTCACAAATGTGTACAGCTGGTGCCATTCAAGCATGGTAGCTCCAGTCTTGAAGAACGCTACTGCAGTTTTCAGTGGGCTACTTTGGCATGTTATGTTGCTAGTTATGAATCATATATTTAATACTACCCAGCACATGCCCCGTGAATTGTGCCAAATGCAACAGTAATTGCTGGGTGCTAGGGGGCAGCATATTTCTCTGCAAGGAAATATTTCATTTCAGTGCATGGTGAAGCATCCCTGCAGCAGAAAGACAACTTTAACAGAAGGTGTGTGGATTCTGTGTACCCCGTACACTGATCATGTGCAAAGCCCTATGCATATATAACCTGCATGTACACATTACTGTACTCCCAAGAGTGGCTCTGTGCTTTTAGCTACTCTTGATGTCACCTCGAGGCTACATCTGTTCCCTGACCTCCACTATCCAGTGTAGAGGTCTGAATAGGAAGCTCCATTCATGAACAGTTGCTCATGCAGTTGGGCTTTGTGCAGTGTGGTCTCAGCAATATTGGCTGTCCAGGTCCCAAAAATCTGCAGTGTGTGTGGGCAACTGCTCACAAGAAGAAGTTTCCATTCAGATATACTCAGCACACAGGTTTGTAGGTGGAGCCAGTTCAGGAGCGAGACCATTCTCCCAAGGAAATGTGTGAGTGCCTTACATATAAGTAATATGGACAAGCGTTTTAGGCATGCTTAGAGTGGGTCCATTTGAAATCAATGGGATATAAGTTAGTCATGAAAATGTAAGTCCTGTGGATTGTAAACAGGCCTGTGCTAAATGTGACTGAGGTGCATTCCAGCCTCTCTGATGGGATTGTTGAAAGTAAAATGCCAGTGAAAACAACTAATAGAAATTTGTGTTTTACAGTTCAGAGAGCGTATTTCTAGAAGATATGATGACTGGTATCTTGCCCAGTGCTAAAATGCTCTTGTTTGGGTAGCAAGTGTCACTGGTGTAGATAGGAAAGCACAGTCCTTCAGTGTTCATTTGACTGGCATGAATGCATGAATGAATCAATGTTTGGTTATTTTTGTTTTGTTTTATTTTTGCAGTACTTTTTCTTTCTTTATTGGAGGGTTAGGCATCTGATGCTTTGGAAGTTTTCTCCAATGGAGCAAAATTTGTAATGATAATGAATTACAATTGTTTATTTTGGAAAATGTACATGGTGAAAGGCTCAAAAGAAGAGTTTTTAAAATTTATTTAGAAGAGGTATGCATCTCAACTTCTAAGAGCAGTCTTTCCTATCCTGAGATGCTCTGGATGTTTTGTGTCTTCAGCTCCAATCAGACCCTGCTAGTATGTGAGTGATCAAGGAGTTGTAGTCTAAAACGTCTGGAGAACACCACTTTGGGGAAGGCTGTTCAGGTCTACACGGACCTAATTCACTACGTATTGCTGTATACTGTTCCAAGGTATATTATCAGGATTTCACTACTGTAGAAAAGGTGACCCAGAAAAAAACAATGATGAAATTCCTGTGCTTCTAATAATTGTGTAAATCAAGGAATTGTAACACATGCAGTTTTTCTCACCCCTTCATGACTAGCTGTCCCTGCCAAGATGTGATTTATTTCATCCATTTGATTGTCTGTTCACAGGCACAAATTAAAATTACTTCTGGTTAACCAATCAATGACCCATACATTACACAGAGTAGTTGTGACACACTGGCTGAATGGAAATCTGGATCAGTTGAGGGATTTATCCAGAATGGTGAAACTGTGTTGAACTGAAACCACTCTTCAGTGACTTTAATATGGGCATCAAATATTTAAGAGCAGAAGCACTCTTAGTATCTCTCTAAGTGTTCCTTTTCTTTTTTTGCCTTTGTCATCTTCCACTTAGTCAAAAGCACTTCGTGAAAAATGGTTGTTGCAAGGAATTCCTGCTGGTTCTCCAGCAGAGGAAGAAGCTAGAAAGAGACAGTCAGAAGAGGATGAGCTGAAGGTGAAAAAGCTGGAAGACAACATCCATAGGTAGGTAAATTTCTCCTACATCTTTAGACTTTCCATAGTTATGTTGTCTGCATGTGGTAAACACACAGAGACAAAAATTGCACTGCAGTTGATTCAGTTGTAGATAAACAAATAGAGGCATCTGCTGATTATTCAAACTGAGTTGGTGAAGTTAATCTGTGGACCTTTAAGTTAAGTTTGTATTGGTGGTAATGTAGATTCTGGCATATTTTTTGCTATAAAAGGGAATACTGATATTAAATGTTAAAACTGGGCTTTTAACCCTGTCTGCTCTAAGATTGGCTAGTGTGATCTACATCTGGCCTTGCCTTGAGAAGTCAGGCAAGTGATTATGAAATAGATCCTACAGTCTGTTTGTAGAATTGGCTTCCCAGGAAGCCTGCTAGATTTTCTCTTCATGGTTAAGAAGGGATTTGGGCAGGTGATTGTATGCCTTGATGAATTTGGCCATTGGTAGCACTAGGTGTGTTCACACATGCTGGTTTCTTATGTTGGCTTGCCTATTGTATCATCCAAACCCTGTTGTGGTATTTCAGCTTGATACATGTGGTTTTTAGAAAGCATTACAAGAAACAACAGTCTGTTTTATGGTTTCCACACTCCATCGTGGTTTCTCCAGTTGTCCAAACCTGGCATTGTGGCTTCCATGGTCCTGATATGTAGCTGCCACAAAGTGGAAGTTGTAAGTCCTGTTCCAGTCATACAGCACGAAATTCAATTTCAAGAGTAGTGGCTGATGGAATATGAGCCAACAGTAAGAAGACTGAGTGAGGAGAGTGGAATCCGTAGGGTGGAAAACACTTGATTTTGTATCATGCATCTCCAGGCAAAAAACCATGCACTGTGGAAGCCATGCAAGTTTACTTGTTATGACATGTGAGCCCAGCCATTGTGTGATGTAGTGATGGCTGTTCAATCTGACTGGGTTGTTTTTTGTTTTGGCGGATGTTGCTTTTATAGGATGTATATATGTAATCTGCTCTTGGAACAGCGAAGAATCTCTGCTTTGGAAGTTACAAGGCATAATTTAAAATTTAAAACAATTAAATTTAGGTTCACGCAGTTCTTTCAGTGTCTGAAAAGGTTCCTGTGTGAATATTTTTATGATATGTGCATTTCATTCCTATACCTACTTACCTAGGAGAAAGCCTACTACCATTGCATTCAGTGGGGTCTCCAAATTTATTGGAAATTTATCTATTATAACTTTTATATGCCATCACCACATGCCTTGGCATCTTGGGATGGCTCACAAATGTACAATTAAAGCAATAACAAATTCCATAAAATTTTATAAAAACAAAAACAAAAATGTGACTGTTAACAATAAAATATTAATTTTTAAAATAGCAATTAAATAAAAAGGTTTTAACCTGGCACCAAAAAGAATATAAACTCGGTGCTAGGCACACCTCTCCAGGGAGCGCATTTTAGTTTTCCTATACAATTTCAGAAATAGATAAATTGTATTTATATAAAACTCCTAGAGTCAGACTTAGGACCAATGGAGTCTTGCCTGAAGTTTGTTTGTTTGATTGAGAGATGTACTAGGAAGGATGTCCTCTTTACTTGTTGATAGACTATTTATGTGTTGAACCCCAGCATGTGTTTTTTGACAAAATCATGGATTTGTGTATAATGTGTTAGAATAAAAACTTATTCTTTACACTGATAATCTTCTACTGTTTATTTTGAAACTCAATTCATCTGTCTAGCTTTGATGCAGCTGATTAATTATTTTAGATATATATGAGTTCTGACTAATCAAGGTCAGAACTTGTGGCTGTTGGAGACAAGAAGCTCCATAGTGTGTTATCTAATGGGCAATTTAGACTGTGCGGAGCCTATTTCATATCTGGAAATACCATCTGGGAATGCTGGGGCTGTTACTTCTCTGGGATATGTCCCAAGTGGCATATCACAAATGATTAAGTTAAATTTGAATAAGTTGATAATGAGGTCTCAAGGGACATTGACCTCTGTTCATCTATAAAGTTAAGTCTGTGGGATTGGGTAAACATATTTAAACTGAATGTAACACCTAAAATTGTTTATGTTTTATGTGGTATTTCTTTACATCTGGCAACTTGGATGTTTTCCTCTGTAAATTTTTATGGGGTTCTATTCCACCATGAATATCCTTGAAAAAGATGCAATTTTTGATCAAGAGAGGAAGTTTTGGACCCCTTGGCCTTTCCTATACCATTGGGTCTCTCTATTGACTTGCAGTAGATTGTATTGTATTCTTTTCCACTTAGATTAGATTCCTCTTCCTGGTCAGTTCTAGAATCTTCATTTCTGGATTCTTTTCCTAAGTGGATTATATTGGGCTCTTGTCATACCAAAATAGAGAATGCTTTTTCTCTAGTTGTAGCAGCTTGGGAGTTGTGGCAGTTGGCAGTTTCACATTTTCACATGCAAAATTAACTTCATGGGGAAATGCAGATTTAAAAATTGGCAAGAAGATATTTGTTTGGGTGGGCAAGCTGATTTTTACATTGGATCAGCTTGTCAGTCCTGAGGATAATTTTCGCCTATTTTCTGCTTTGTGTGCTAAGTTGCCAGCCATGGCTACATGGCAATGTATGTTTTTTAATCATTTGTTAAAATCCATGTTTGGTCCTGCTGCTTTTACACCTTCAGAGCTGCCTGGGTTATCTGAGACTGAACAATTAAATTGTCCTACAGTTCATGTGGACAGGTATTTATTATTGATAAATAAATATGATACACTGGGTCTTATGCAAGAATGGAAGAATGAACTAGAGCACACAACCCTGGTCATTCAAGTTTCCCTATTATTTATTTCACAGGGAATCTACTTAATTCAGCAAAAACTGATATTTCCAGTATAATGGATGCCACGAGGTCTTTTAAGTGCTTAATAATATTGGCTAATTGTTGGAATTGCAATGCTGTTAATGTTTCTGTTCCTTATATCTTTTGGTAATGCCCAAATGGCAGCCAAAATGGAGGAGGTAACAGATGGGATAAATCTTGTTATGGAAAGTTCTTTAATATTCAGCAACATGCATGCATTACCTACCTTTTTCATTACCTACCCATTTCTTGGAATTTAACACCAGGACAATGTAAAAGGATTTTCTGCACCCTTTTGACAGCTGAAAGACCAAAGGTACAACACTGGAAGATAATTCACCACCTGGGTGGGTGGCCAATGCAGTGAGTGGAAGATTTAATTAGACTTTCAATTTTTGGACAGGTGACATTTAGGTATAATATACAAACAGATAAATATATAGAAATTTGAGGTACTTTGCTAAAGCCTGTGCATAATTATTTTAAATAATGGTAATGTGTTCTGTTAAATACTCATATAGAGAGATATATAGCATACATGTAATAAAATGTGAAAAGATCCACAGCACTAATGACAACACTGTAATGTTTCAGTTTTGTTCCTTTTTAATGGTATACTTTGTTTTGTCTGTATTGTAAAATAAACAAAACAATAAAAATGCATGCATGGAAAGTTAGTTATGCACAAAACAAAAATGGACAGCTGTGCTTCATTTGAATAATTTATGTTGGTAAATTAAGCATGATGTATAAATCCTGTTTCTGGGTGCAGAATTTTTAAAAGAAAATGTATGACCAGCTTATATGCTTTTATGGCTGTGTCCATCTCCATGTAAGGAAATAATCACCGCAGACTTGGTTATTGTATACTTGGGCCTGGGCCATGTATATCTATACTGCATTACAGAGATTACTACCAAAGTGGTGATAGTCAACCTGGTGCCTTCCAGATGTTTTGGACTGCAACTTTCATAAGTTCCAGGCAGCAAGGTTAATGTTCAGGTGCTTGGGGAATTATCATCAAAAAGACAGATCACCTACCTCTGCACTAAAGCATTGTGTTTGAGCTGATGTGAGGAGAAAAATCTATCTATAGCTTTCTGCCTTTGGCACATCCAGATGTGCAAGTAATCCATTGATGTTGCAAACATGTGAATGGCGAATTTGGATGTGGGGGATGGTTCAATCAGCACCTGTTAACTGATTCTTACTGGAAGTTGCTCTATCAGCTTCATCAACTGTAACATCTTGTAATGCAAATATAATAAAAGCTTGCAGCCAATATTTTGATGGGTAAGTTTTAATGCACAGAACTTAAATCTTGGTTGGACTGAGTAAACACAGCCTGAAGTGGGCTGTGTTAAGTCTCAATTGTCTTCCTCCAAAGTGAAGAACTATACAAGAAAGATCTTAACGTCCCTGATAAACCACGATGGGGTGATCACTGACCTCGAGCCAGACATCCTGGAATGTGAAGTCAAGTGGGCCTGAGGAAGTTTACATTCCAATGCCAAAGAAGGGCAATGCCAAGGAATGTTCAAACTACTGCACCATTGCACTCATTTCACATGCTAGCAAAGTTATGCTCAAAATCCTACAAGCTAGGCTCCAGCAGTATGTGGACCGAGAACTACCAGAAGTACAGGCAGGATTTCAAAGAGGGAGAGGAACTATAGATCAAATTGCCAACATACGCTGGATCATGGAGAAAGCTAGGGAGTTCCAGAAAAATATCTACTTCTGCTTCGTTGACTATGCTAAAGCTTTGGTTGTATGGATTACAACCAATTGTGGCAAGTTCTTAAAGAGATGGGGTACCAGACCATCTGATTTGTCTCTTGAGAAACCTATATGCGGGTCAAGAAGCAACAGTGAGAACTGGGCATGGAACTACTGAGTGATTCAAAATTGGGAAAGGAGTTCGGCAAGGCTGTATATTGTCCGGCCTATTTAACTTATATGCAGAGCACATCATGCAAAAGGCGGGCCTAGATGAATCACCAGTTGGAATGAAGATTGCCAGGAGAAATATCAACAACCTCAGATATGCAGATGATACCATTCTAATGGCGGAAAGTGAAGACGAACTAAAGAGCCTCTTGAGCGGGTGAAGGAGGAGAGCGCAAAAGTTGGCTTGAAACTCAACATTAAGAAAACTAAGATCATGGCATCTGGTCCTC